AGGGTGCTTCGTTTCATAAGAATCTCGCTGTCGACTTGCGGAGTGGTTCACGTGACTGATAGTTCCGCGGATTTCTGTTCTTCGGCCAGGAACCACTTCTCTTCTCAACCCGATTAGCAATGGCGTCTACCATACGATTGCCCGCGGGCACGTCCGCTCGGATTGTGCCATCTGGTTCCTTTGTCCAATGTCGCGCCTTCTCCGAGACTTCCCAACAATGGCGTGGAAGACAGATGAATTTCCGCCCTCCAAGCCAAGCGCAGCCATCCTTCAAGACCAGAAGCCAGGGCATGAAGTTGGCCGATCTACCAAATGACATTGGCATATTACCAGGTACCTTTGTTCGACCGTTGTGGCGGAATATGCCTTCGATCTTCACGGCACCGCGCGATAGGTGGCATATGGAATGGACATGGATCAAGGCCTGGTTGAGCAACTATGGCAGGTTAGTTCTCCCCCAATCCTTGGACTGTTCGGTACACTCTATCGCCATAGAGATAGCTACGTTGAACAAGAGCTACATATAGCATATACTTGCAAATATTGGCTTTTCTAACTGTGTTGCAGTCTGCTCCAATATTGCAAGCGCGAAAACAGCCTTCCTCTTCTCCTAAGCAAGCGTCGCCACTTTGCCGCAAAGCTCCAGAAGGAGATGTATACAGCATTTGCCGAGTAAGCATGCACCTTTTCCTCATATACTTATGAGCGGGACTAACCACTATGAATTGTAATAGAGGCAACATTCCTAAAATCCGCCAGATCTGCTGCGACAACCTCGTCAAGCAACTCACCAAAGGTATCGAACGCCGCCCGAAGAATGAGCTAGTGACCTGGAAACTGGTGAAATACCTGCGGAAGCCAAGTACAAACTTCACCGGCCTCCGCGTCATCTCAGATCGCGCCACATCCATCCCCGATATCCCGAAATCCGGTATCCGTCAAATTATCGTGCGCATGACGAGCCGACAGTCCACAACCACGACTAAGGTCCAGGACCCCAGCGGAAAGGCGCCTGCGGAAACTTCCACTGTTTCCGTCAAGGAGCAGGACTGTGTCGAGCACATTGTCATTCAGAATCTCCGCTGGAACAACCAGGACCAAGGCTGGAGAGTGTGGGGCCACATCAATCCCACCACATTGGATGAGGCTTGGAACAACCCCTACTTCAAGCCCGGCTTGTCGACCCTGGAGCGTCTGGAGATGATCAAGGACTCTGTGGGCAAATAAATTTGAGTCTCATCTCAAACTGTGATTTGTGTTTCTTTCCTGACTGCAGTTGCAAGATCCGCACTAGCAACTCAAATAATGGACGAGACTATGCCTTGCCAATAGGTTTTTGACCTACCATCTTACCGGATCAACGGTGAATGGTTTTGACACAATATCCTTTATTTTTGTTTGCCAGCTCCTACTCCTCGCTTTTCGGCCTAACACTGGACAGAGGCTCAAGTCGGGTTCTTTTCTGGCTTGTTCTCTTTCCTTCGCACGGGAAACCCCTGATATAGAAGCATTTACACCTCCCATGTACCATAGCCACCTGTTTTGATGAAATTTCACCTTTCTTTTGAGCCATTACTTGTATAAATGAATATCAATGTCTCAAGAGTGTCCTTCCCATACTATTATCTTCACTAATACGTACTCTCAAGTTTTAAACCTTTTTGGCACGATTGCCTTGGCCTAGAACAAATACCCTAAAAACCATGCGAAAGGGAGATGTTTAAGAATAATACGTTAAAGAGCCATGTCAACTAGCCAATTTCCTGACGTTTGATGGCTCAAAGGCGCCACTGTACTTTATACTAAGATGATACCAACTAGGTCAATATTTGCTGCATCTCTACCTGACATCGTCGGTAACACGATTATACGTAATTCATGGCCGACATGGGTCAAAGCTAAATGGACTAGGCAGTGTGTATATGTACAATCGGAAGGCATAAAGGTAAAATATTAATGTGTAGCACAGGTATCACTCCGAGAAAACACCCGAACACACAGAAACAAGAGGTACGAATGGATAAAAGGGGGTTCAAAAGAGCACCGGAAAGCGATGCACCAATACCATTATACGTGGGTCCGCGAACCAACGCTTGAATTCCAAAAACAACGCAAGAAGGCACCAGGAGCTGTCTGGGGCGAATTGATCAGTCATCGTCGAAGATCTGGAATGTGTTATTCAGGATCGTCTCGACGACACGGACCTGCCACCCAGCGTCGGCAATGTTGCCACCGGTATTGGCACCCATGAGAGTTGGTCTATAACGAGAGTTAGCGGGTCTGTATCTGATAACATCCCTGTTTATATAAGGATGTGGCAGGTGCAAAGACATACCCGAAGCAAATAGCTAGATTGCCCGCGTTCATGCGATTCTGGGTATAGTGTTCTTGGATCTTGTTGAGATGCTGCGATGGACTGGGTTAGTATCTGGGTAGACACAAAGACTGGGTTTTCGTTAGGGATCGTACCAGAATGATGGCCCGAAGAGTGGCATAGTGGGCATCGGGCAGACTGTTAATAAGGGCGTGCATCGAGTCTCGGCGTTGGATATCATCGTCGAAGCCTGCGGGTTGATTGTCAGTTTCTCAATACAGAATTATATACTCTCTCCTTGGCATGAATACTACTTACGAGCAGCGTCAACAAATTGTTGGTAGAACTGAGTGGTGAACAGAGGGTCGGGTAGGTCCCTGAAGAATTGCTTCGCAAGTCCTGCAACACTGTTGACATCATGGTAAAAGTTCTCCGGGTTTGTGAAGTCGACTTGCGACGAGTCTGTTCATGTGAGAGTAGAATTAGCAAGCTACCCATATTTCCTTCGATGTCTGATCAAGCTTACCATTGTCGAACAAGGCTTTCATGTGACTGATGTGATTGGCGCTACCTGAAAGTCGATAGATGCCCTCCATATCCAGACCGAACAGCTCAACTGCTTGGAAGCACTGGTATACAATGAGCGGAACTGCCGTTCCATCCCGGGCGTACAGGTCGTTCAGCGAGACACCGAACACTGGCTTCAACGGAGGGAGATTCGATTGTAAATTTCGGTCCATCGGGGGAGGTCCTACCATTGGCACCTGGATCTTAGGTGCGGGTTCCGGAGCAGGCGGCCCTGAGACTGGATAGGGAGGTGTGCCCGCTGGGGGCGGAGTGAAGGTCTTCTCCGGAGGGTAAGGTGACTGCGGCAACCGGTCACCGCTATGTGGTTGCTGAAGCGCCGGCAAAGAGGTATTGTTCGAGGTGAACGTCTGGGGCAGGATTGACACGCGCTTATTCTGAGTACTAGTTTGCGAAGGTGCCGCAGCGGGAGCGGCAGCAGGAGCAGGAGCAGGAGCAGAAGAGATAGCCCCAGCACCACCAAGTGTCTAATCAATGTCAGTATAGTGAAGCAATCGAGGAACAATGCAGGACTAACAGGGTGGCGCTCATATTTGACCTGTTCTGAAGCCACAGCTCCCGGGTTGCCTTCATGGCTTAGGATAAACTCGTGGAGATCTCTCTGGTTATCAACTTGGCGAATAACATCGGCAAGGCTCTTAGGTGCTAATGGGCCATTGCTCGCATCGGTCTTCAAAGGGCTGACGCAGAGACCTTGCCCCAGAAGCAGTTTCTCGTTGAATGTGGCTGCAAGTCATAAGCCGATGAACAATGAACAACGAAACCTACGTAAAATGGAATGGCACATACCGAACTTCTGCTGCTGCAGGGTCAAGCCCGAGTCACACTCAGCGATCAATTGCTGGAGATTGTGTACAGCCTGAGGTCGGTGGGTAGATACTAGCTCCTGGCGCGCCGCCTGAGCACCCTGAACCTTAGACCCATAATCGCTGTCCGCGTTCTGGACCTTGCGTAGCAACTCCTCCTCGTGCTGCGCCGCAGATTTGTGGCCCTTGAGACCGAACTTTCCACCCTGCTTGTCTCCGGTACGAACACGGTCATACTGCTCTGCCAACGACTCGTACTTGGCCTTTGCCTTCTCCGCCAGCGATTCTGCATCGACGACCCTCTTCTCCGCAGCTAACCCCGTCTGTTTCCATTGCTTGCGGCCGCGCTCGATGTTGGCAGCAAGCTCGTGTAGGTCATCGGACATCTGGTGGAGGGAGACGGCGAATTGGAGGCCATGGTCGACCATGCGCTCCTGGATTCGGTGGATTTCCTTGTAGCTAGAACTGTATGTACCTTGTCGGTTCTCGGAGCGTTGCGACGCATCGTTGATCACGCGGGACAATTTTCTCAGCCCCTGAGCGTGCTCTTCTTCGAGGGCACCTCTCTTTTTCAGGAAGGTTGAGAAATCCTAGAAGATAGTGTGTCAGCGTTTACGATCGCAGTTGGAGTCCTTTACTACGAACCTTGGCGGAGGCCACGCTTTGCTTCAACCGAGTCAGGAGTGTGGTTATACCGATCTACTCATGGTTAATACAATTGCGTCTTTTGTTTAATATGCATCTGACGGTGGATCTTCTCACATCAGAGTAGATAACTTTGTCCAAGCGGGCTTTCAGCTCGTCTGAGATGGCTTCGTGGACCTGGATCTGCTCGCCCCCGTGGCTAGGGGACGAGCGACCGGCGCTTGATGGAGGCGCATCGGAGAGCGTCGGTGGCGCCGCGGATTCGTGTAGGGCTTGATCCGACATGGAAAAGGCTCTTAACTTGAGTGAATGTCAAGAAAGAGGAGTTAAATAGAGGGGGGGGGGGAACGGATAGCCTCACGGGCCACCTTCTATTATTGTAATGGCGGAGATCCCACGGGAAAATGCTGCAGCCTGCCTTTTTCGCTTGGGCAGAAACGGCGCGAACCTACGGGACCTTAACAGGGCTGTTCAGTATTCTTGCTTAAGACGTAATGGCGGGTTCAGCCACACAAGTGGATCTTAGGCTTCAACGTACCTCTCTAGTTCTAGTTATGTACTCCGTACATTATTCTATATTGTAAAAAACAGACCACTTTTATTTTGGTATCGCCGCTATGGATATCAACATTTATACAACACCGTGGCTTCTATAAAACCGGAGGTGCAACGAAAGAGTCAGGAATGCCGTCAAAAACCCAATTGAGGGAATCAAAGACCTCTGAGAAGCCAGATTCACTGAAAAATGCTCCGCCTTCATCAAACTGAGCGGGCATCATTAATGATTGGTCCTCCAGGGAGCTATCTTGCTGTTGCCGCGTCATGTGTCCTGTCGAGCCTAGTATATCTTGGTTCGCTGCTATGGCAGCGGCTATAAAAAGAAATTGGTTAAAAACTGGGAGAAAACAACTAAAGGGGAAAAAAAAGCAAAGAGAACTTACCTTGCATTTCCTCGAGGCTTTTGACCGGTCGGAACCGTTGTCGCCAGCGCCAAACTGTGTCGTAGACATGGCTCATGCTCATGCGGCAGCGGACTTTAAGCTGTAGGGCATCTTCTTCGGCAGGCTCTAGACTCGTGGCATTCCACATCTGAGCAAGGATGTCTGCAAGACGAATGGGACGGTCATGATCCATGACACTGATTCGGCGAATTGCTGAGATCGCACCGTTGAACAGTAGCTTGCCATGGTTGAAATCAAGGTGTCGGCTGAAGCTGCTCTTCAACAACTTCATGAGAGCGAAGGCGGCCGACACAATCATTTGAAGAATATAGTTGGTGGAGTGGCCGATCAATTCACCTGGCGAAGTTTCGAGATCTAGTACTCGACCAAGGAAGGAGGTTGTTGCAAGGAAAAGTTTGATCAGATCGTCGCTTCGTGCAGTGGACCCCAAAAATGTGAAGTATCGGAAGTGCAATTCGGCAGCACGGAGATGGATCGTGTTGATTGCTTGATACGAGTGTGAGCGGCGCCAAATTGGAATGATACGACAACAATTTACCGGAGATTTTCCCATCAAACTCGACATCCATGTCTCTGATTTCACTTTCCAAAACCTGCACTACCACGAGCTTGTCGGCACTGACAAAGTCCGTAGACTCGGGTTTACTACTGTATAATGCCTTGGTCACCCGGTCGCAGAATTTTTCGATACGCAACCGAATGGCCAGGTCATCGGGAAGCCGGTAGTCGGCATCTTTCAAAGAGGCAGGCTCAAGGGCCCAATCGTATATTGTGCTTGGTGGCTGGCCGTAACCAGTCGCAACACTGCCGAATCCTCAATCAGTCTGTGATGAATAACTATGTATCGATAGGAATTACTCACTTTTGAGCCACGATGTTGCAAATGACCCACGTATGTAGTCGATCCTTTAAAGCTTCGCCTTGAACTTCCATGCGGAATGTTGTGAACTCTTCCGCTTGAACCGGACGGTGCAGCCCAAGCTGCATAGCGATCTGCATCATCAAGCCACTGAGCATGAAAGTTGCGTCGGTGCGCTGGCTTGTAGTTGGAAGAGGCCATGTACACAGAACACAAAGGGCCTTCACCACCCGGTAGTCCTGGGGGACACTGGTAATGGTTGACCAAAGCAGCCTGCTAAAGGGTCCGGACAGTGCGCTCAAGAGCCCAGGCTCATATTGAGACCGTCGACACGCGACACAGATCATAGTCCAGGCCAAAAGTGGGCATCGGTGGAGATACACCTCCGGGGGCTTGGGTGGATTCAAAAGGGGAAGAAAGGGGTGATAATAGGTGAAGTATCTATGCAGACGTTAATCGCAGAAGCGGGCCAAAAGAAATTGAGAGCGCATACTGTTCATACAGCCGGAGAACTCGGGCTCTAGAGAGACAAATATCTTCCAGTCTCCATTGACCCTCGTCCTGTGATATAATAGAGCCGTCCCTTTTCATAGCCAAAGGGGTTGCTATAGATGAGTGGGTTGAAGCTTCAACCGGCACCGAAACATGTCGAGATTGGTCAATCGCGGCCGAGTCACGGCGAGCAAAGACATCCTCTGAGCAATGGGACATTTCATCACCTCCATGAGATTCATGGGACTCTACACCTTGCTCATGATCTGAATTGGGCCCCAGGCGGCGGCGGAGATCTGCAATCTCCTTTTCCATTTCAGCATTGCGCCTATGAAATAGAGTCAATAGGTTGCGAAGGGTAAAAAAAAAACAAAAACAAAAAAACAAAAAAAGACCGTACCTTCTCTTGGAAATGCGTTTGAAGGACTGTTCCACTTTACAGTCAATCCCAAGCCTGCGACAACGCGAACAGGCCGCAGCGGGCGTTTGAACAATATCACATCTCAGCTATCAGGTTTGAGAATATCAGCGGCGATTGTCGGAGCCCCGATGCGGTCGGGGGTAGGTTTGGGTAAAATTGCATAGTAATTGGAAATATGCAAATGACTCACCTTTTGCTGCTTACATTCATTACAGGCTTTCCGACTGCCACCCCGGCGCTTGCCTGTAACAGGCGGGGTCTTCTCCATATCGCAAGGTTCCGAGCTTCTCTGCATGAAATCGATAACCGGGGGTGGCCGGGGTAGTGTGGGGGACCGAAAGTCACTCGGGATTGAGTAATGCGGCCCATCCGGTGCCAGTATGTTCCGGTACCCCAAATCCATCGAGATCAGCCTGTGTTCAGCCGGTATAAAACCCCGCGAAACGTGAACGAGTGCTCGCGGAGTTCATGTGCCGTAAATCGGAGAAATCGGCCCTGAAGGAGAAAGTGGGGAACCTATCCGTTCATTGAGAACGTTGATTTGCAGGAGATTTGGTGCCGAGACGAATCTCGGCGGTTGCTGATTCATCTGGTGCCTGAGGCATTAGTTTGTTATGTAATCTCTCCCGGCGATCCCGAGGTCCAGGGATAGATTCCAGGACAGCCTTGAAGTACATGTATGCATAGGGATTTGAATACTTTTATCAACCATTCTCTGTAGTGCTATGTAGTTAATTGTCACTGATCGTGGAAGAATATCTACTATATATGGCCTTATCACCTTACCATCAATTAAAGTGTCAAATAAAACACAGAGATAATGCAAAATATATACTCCAGCTAATATCGAAATGAGATAGATATCAGAGCTATAGTAGCTGATAGTTGAACATATTAAAGCCATCCATCTATATGGAATAGATGTCATACATCTGCATCGTACTTTATGCCCCACTTCTCATGGCCCGAGGTCGATGTGGATTATATGATCTTCAATACTCCGTACATCTTTTACATATTTAAATCTTGAAACCCACCCTAAAATCTCATTCCAATATCTGATCTAATACTGAACATTTTTGAGTCTACTTTGAAAAAGTGGGTTCTATACTGGTGACTTTGATAACTTCCAATGCTAACAATTCAATAGATCATGTCCGAAATCAACGTCACCGCGGTTCTATCTCCAAAGCCAGAAAAGTTTGAAGAAGTTAGCCCTCATCCTTCCCATGATCTCCAATGGTCTTAACAGTTCAAATATCTAATATATCGTGTTGTCCTCCAGGTAGCTACTCTTATAACCGAAGTCGTCAAACAGGTGCAAGAACACGAACCCGATACATTGCTTTACTATGCATTTCAAATCAAGGACAAGAATGAGATTGTGATTGTTGAGAGGTAAGCCAACCACTGACCATCGATATCGACCCTCATTGATCCCTCCCCCGCATGGAGAGGCCGTGCCTCGGCACAATGTATCTTTGCCACCAAGATTCTGATCGGCTTTACAATATAGGTACAAGGACCAGTCAGCGATCCAGACCCACGTCAAATCTCCCTATTTCCGATCCTTTGCAGGAAAATTATCCACTTTGTTGGTAAAGCCATCGGAGATCAGGGCAGGTGGGTTCCTGAGTGGTTCGAGGGGCGTATCGCGACTATAGGTTCCAAGGTTCTTTTGTTTTTATTTTCTAGATGCCCGTTGGGTAGATATAAATAGGATGATGGACCATGCATAAGCACCCGTTCTCTTATGATTCGATATTTGATTAGACGCCTATGTGCCGGCATCATTCGTGATTCAATTGTCATGCGATTGGTGCATTGGTGAAGGCTGACCAACAGGAGGTCTGTGAGATGTTTTAGGAGAAATATCGGTATTACAGAAATGAATTTCTGTTTATAGAGCAATGCTCCATAGAGATGCTATAAAATCTATATCTTATTTACATACACACATTTTTAATAAGAAATAAGTGGGGACATAAAGGGTTTTGATCTCTTCCTTATAGAATAATATCTATTTAGTGATCTGCTAAGGAACTAGTGTTTCCCTTTTTTTTCCTTCCTCCGACTCTCTTTCTCTCTCTCTCTCTCTCTCCTATAATTTTTTTTTTGGTGAGTGATCTCCTTTCATCCTTTCGTCTCCACATCTTTCCCACCCCCTCTTTTTCCCTAGCTCCAGCCTCCTCTTAGCTTCCTCAAAGCCCCCCCTGAAGCTAAAGCTAATATTCTGAAGATACCCTGTTATCGTTGGTTTATCTGGAATTTGGATTTTCATTATACATTTTGCGACATGGCGACGGGTCCGGCTACTCAGTCACTGAAGGTGGGCAGTTGATCCCGATCCATAGGGATGCGCGGCTAATTGATGGCAGTGTGTGGTGACCGGTGATGGTGCAGTTGGCAAAGTTAGTACCCCGACCATATCCCCTAATCCGATACTGACATGCAATGCCATAGACATGTCTTCTGATCTCCTACACAACGAATGCTTTCCCGGGAGAATACATCCCTACTGTGTTCGTACTGCCCCTCAATGCGAAACCTTCCCGAACGGACATTGATACCATTACAGCTTTGACAACTACACGGCTAGTGTTATGGTTGACGGCCGGCCGATCAGCCTGGGACTGTGGGATACTGCTGGACAGGAGGATTATGATCGCCTGAGACCGTTATCCTACCCGCAAACCGATGTGTTTTTGATCTGCTTCTCTATCGTCAGCCCGCCATCATTCGATAACGTCAAAGCGAAGGTACGGACGCACCGAGCATCCCCAGGAGACCTACCAGGCCCTTTCTATTTCTATGCGACTAACCGTTCCCCGCTTCTAGTGGTTCCCGGAGATCGAACACCACGCCCCCAATGTCCCCATCATCCTCGTCGGTACCAAGCTGGATCTGAGAGACGACCGCGCGACTACAGAAGCCCTTCGCGCACGCAAGATGGAGACCGTCTCCTACGAACAAGCCCTGGCCGTGGCTAAGGAGATTCGCGCACATAAGTACCTTGAATGTTCGGCGCTGACACAACGCAACCTGAAGAGCGTGTTCGATGAAGCCATCAGGTGCGTTTTCACCCTTTCCCGAAGACACACTAGCGTATATCGGCTTTTTTCTAACCGTATATCACAGGGCCGTCCTCAATCCCCGTCCCGCTACGAAATCCGGGAGGAAGGCAGTCAAATGCAATATCTTGTAGAGCACGTTTGTTTGGCTTGACTCGTCTCCCATGTTCTCGTATGCTATAATGAATAATATATAGTTAATACGGCGTCTGGGTAGTTAGAGGCTTTTTTTATTTTATTTCGCCGGCCTCTCAGTCCTGTTTTGTGATGAAATCCATTGACCGTTTTTCTTGGGGATATTTCCTATCTTTGCCCCCTTTGTCCCCTCGGCCTTTGTTTATAGTCTGTCCCAATTAATTCGCGGTGTTCTTGACTCCGAGATTATACCCTGGTCATTCTAAGTTATCTGTAGTTCAGGTTACGATGCCCACTTAGGGTAATGTTTGCCGGGAAAGCACAGAAAAGAGCAAATGAATTGGTATCTTCAAAATCAAGCAATAGAGACATGAAGTAAGTACTTTTTGGAATACAGAAGAAAAAACCGGCCAAACCTGATGCTCCCGGGAATGCATGGCTATCAAAATGTCCAGCTGCCTGCAGATGCTCCGGGCACCTTGCTGTACACTGTTCCGATCCACCGAGTTGAGACTGTTCGAAGTAAACCATGGCAGTGAACCAGCGGGTTTCATTGGTTTAAACACGGCCTCTGCGGCTAGGGTGCAGACCAGCCCACTGATCGTTGTCAGCTGCGTCGTCCACGGGAGCAGAGTTGGCACCAGAGCCGCCAACCGGGGCAACCGTCTTCTCGTGCTTTCTCTTGTCCTTCTGGATATCCTTGGCCTGGCGCTGGCGCTCCTCGTTGAGCTTCTCGTTCTTGGCCTGGATCTTGGCATTGCGATGTTCGGACTTAGCGCCGCCGCCGCCAGCACTGGAATTAGTAGTTAGTATACCGTCGGTTGCAATTGGAATTTTTTGCTTGGAGAAGACTTGGAAATGATGATCATCTTCTCCAATTGGGGGGATGATAACTCACGTCAGCTCGACGTTCATGCGTCGGGGTGGGTACTTTCCGTCGTCGAAGGTGGAGTGGTGGTACAGCTTGAGGCAGGTCTTCATGCGGTCGTAGTTGTCAAACTCAATGAATGCAAAGCCGCGGCATTTACTGGGGTCTTCCTTCTTGGTTGCGACGCGGATTGTGGCCGGGGGGTTCTTCTCGAAGTGCTTGCTCAAGGATTCATGGTTGGCGGAGTAAGGAAGATTTCCTGCACATGGGAATATCCTTCGATTAATCCTGTGTCTTTTGTTCGGGGTAGTCCATCTGGACTGGAATCACTTACCGACAAAGCAAATGAAGCGGGAACTCTTCTGGGCCTGCTCGGCCTCCGCGGCAGGCTCTCCTTCGGTCTCGGCCACGGGCTCGGTATTCTCCTTCTTCTGCTGCTGCTTCTTCTCCTTCTGCTTCTCCTTCTTCGCCTTCTTCTTGTCTTTCTTCTCCTTCTCGGCGTCCACCTTCTCCGCAGGGGTCACATCAACATCCATAGCGTCCTCGGAGGGAGCAGCAGGTTTGGCCTCGACCTCCTCGGCCTTGCGCTTCTCCTTCTTGTCCTTCTTCTTGTCCTTCTTCTCCTTCTTATCGGCGTCCACCTTCTCGGTAGGGGTCACATCAACATCCATGGCGTCCTCGGAGGGAGCAGCAGGCTTAGCGTCGGCCTCCTCAGCCTTGCGCTCCTCCTTCTTGTCGGACTTGTCCTTCTTCTCCTTCTTGTCCTTCTTCTCCTTCTTGTCCTTCTTCTCCTTCTTGTCCTTCTTTTCCTTCTTTTCCTTCTTTTCCTTCTTCTCCTTCACCTCTTCCTGTGCCGGGGCAGCAGTCTCGGGGGTTACAATCTCGGATTCCTCACGCTTTTCCTTCTTTTCCTTCTTGTCTTTTTTATCCTTCTTCTCCTTCTTCATCTTCTTGCCCTCAGGCGCGACGACCTCATCCTGCACGAGTTTGCGCTTGTCGCCCATTGTGGTGGTATGTGTGGGGTAAATTTGTGGTGAAAAGGGACAATGGTGGGATAGGAAGAAAACAAGATAAATGGAAGTCTTGGGATGTTTGGGAAAGAAAAGCGGTGGAGAAGTTTGCAGCGCAACGACACTCAAGCTCCAAAAAAAAAGTCGGGCGGAGAGAAAAGTGAAATTAAAATTTTGCCGCGCCTGGGGAGGCGGTGAATACAGGCTATTTGATAAGGCTTTTTGTTTTTATAGTTCGAGATTTATCTACGCACGCTAAACAATTGTATGAATAGATTCAAGTTTGCATGTACTCAAATCACATAACAGTATATAAAAGTTCATGATCAGCCTTTTGTTAGATTAGAACACCAAGATCTTCACACCCTTCTTCGCCCCATAGCGCTCACGCAGTTCCGGCCGAGTAAGCAGCTTCAGCAGTGGCATATGCGTGTCCTTCATATCGAAGATGCCTCGTTGCTTTTGGTCAACGTGTGATCCGTCAATGACAATGCGCTCCAGCTCCTCCAGGTTGAGAGTTCCTAGAGATCAATTATCAGCATCTTTATACATGAAGTAGAGCTATGGATAGATAGCAACTGAGTGAACTCACCAGACTCAATCAAATCAGATATTCTGGTTGGGGTTCCAGCCCCGATACCAGACCGAGCACGTTGAAGAAACTGCTTCGATTCCTCCAGCTTGATGTGCTTCGCGAACAGCTTACCTACGATGCTCTCCTTGGTTTGGAAAGAGCGTAGTGCACTAGTAGCATCAATTGTTAGTCCCAGCTTCGACTCATACCAGAAAAAAGATTGAAAGTTTCCCACTTACCGTACAACATCAGCGGATCGCAGAGCAGCACCCGAAATGACTAGTGTATGGGGGGTACCGTTCTTCTCAGATGACTTTGACAGGTCGGCACCCTTGGGACTGAACGTCTTGAGGAATTCGGGGAGCTGCTCCAGCTTTCGGGTGGAAGTGAAGGAAGAGGTATCGAGGAATGCGGAATCTATAGTTTTGTTAATGTTTAGGACACCCCTTGGCCTTGGCCAGAACAATAGGAAATGCACGTACCTGGAACTGAAAGATCACTCAGTTCAACAGCAGAGAGCTCCTTCTCGTGTCTTTTGGCCTTCTTCGCAAAGTGATCTCCCAACAACCGGCCGTCCATCTTGCCAATCGACTCGTCAATGCCGTCTTTGCGCGTTGACTGGTTCTCTTCATGTTCAGCCTGCTTCTTCTTGTTTATGGTCTTCTTTTGCTTTTTTTTGCTGGATCCCTCTGCGGGTTTGCCTGCCTCGGGCTTTTCTTGCTTGGGAGCAGCATCGTCGGCTTGTCTCTTGCGCTTGTTTTGGAGCTTATTGGCAAGTCCTTTGGGGGCGTTTGTGTCGGCCATTGTGGTGATAGCCAGTATGAACTTGACAAAATAATATTCCAAGTATTGCAAGCTTCAATTGGTAAATGCAAATCGCATCGAGACTTCATTGCGCAAAAAAAAAGCCGGCTGATTCAGCCAATCTTATCGATAAGAATGGACCAATCACGCACTGGCCCGCAATTGTTGTTTCTAGACGCGACAGACAAATACCAACGTTAATCTTGTATTCACTGTTCGCCCAGTTGATCTGGGATTTTATTGCAGTGGTGATCACATATGTGGTCTGGTATATTGCGCATGATATAGCTGTACTTATCTTGCGGGGAAAATCAAACTATGTCTACTTCTACCCCAAACGCGCGTGGCCGTCGGTCACCACTTGGGGCCGCTACCCCGTCTGGGGATACAACATTGACCGGAGTGAGTGCTATTCATTGCCTTTTTGTGAGGTTGCAAAAATTGCTCACATATCACTTCCTTACAGCTCCAACGACTTCCTAGCCATACACGCTACCCTCTTACACCAAGTCGACTTGTTACCGCAGTCACCCCGGGCACCCAACGGTCCGCCTCTCGATACACACCACGCGCTCGAGGAGTGGGTGCGCCAGCAACACCATACGGACTCCGTGCCCGACAACAACGAGCAGCGAATACCCCTGGTCGGGATCGCCGACGAAGTGGCAGAATGCAGCGGGAGACTACATTTGATATTCTTCGGAACCTGGGCAGAGGTAAGAGCTCCACCACGTATTCAACACGAGGAATTGAACTGAACTATTCGGCCCGGTCTTAGCACTCGCTCCTATATCTCAACCTATCCACTCCTCGCCGCAGGATAAGCCAGAGCCTATAGAAGAGCCAATTGATGAATTTGAACAGCTTGATAATGAGCCAGAAATCGAGCGACCACGGTTATCTCTGCCTATTCAGGAGTCCGAGGAAGAAGGCGAAGAAGCGAGTCCTGAAATCCAACCTCCGAGGATGTCTCTCGCCTTCGCCGAAGAGGATATGGATATTACTTATCAGTCTGTTGAATACCCCCGCGACGCCAGTATCAGAGACCGGGATCGGCTATCAATGATGAGCCGGGCTACCGGCAGAATCAGTGGAGATTTTGATGAGACACGATTAGAGAGCGATGATGCAGATGAAACTGGTATTGTGGGTGAGGATGATGAGGCAGAGGATACAATGATCAGTGGGGGCGACTTTGATAGAGGGTGGGTATCCAAGAGTTGCATTGACTATGTTACAAAATTTTGGCTAATATCACAAATAGGGGAGAGACTGAAGACTTGGGCCGCTTCCATTTTGACCTCAACTTTCCATCTCCTGCGGCTGCTCCGCTTGAAGATCCCACTGGCGAGGATATGAACGATATGGAGGAATTCGAACTGTCCACCGCGGAGCCACCCCAAGCTCCATCAGACGATGATGACGACGTTGGAGGTGATTTCGGTTTCGGACTCGACTTCCCACCCGCAACATCCCCCAGTGAGAGCCCTGGGATTGTTGGAGGTGGGTTGCGAGATGAAGCTATTCCAGCCCAGGGCAAGCAAAAGAAGATTTCACGACATGGAATTCCTGTCCCAAACTTGCCTGCAGGTGTGGTAAAAAAGCTAGCGACTCGCTTCGCGCGTTCGGGGGCTGGATCAAAGGCAAAAATCAACAAGGGCACGCTGGCCGCGATCGAGCAGGCATCCTCGTGGTACTTTGAGCAAGCAAGCCAAGATTTGGCTGCATATTCAAAGCATGCAGGACGGAAGACAATTGATGAGAGCGATGTCACCACATTGCTGAGAAGGTCAGTTTCCTTAAAAGCCAGCCATCCCACGGGAGTAATTGCTGACTTGTTCCAGACAACGCCATATCAACAATTCGACAACAGTGTTTTCCCTCGCCCAGAAGCATTTACCCAAAGAACTTCAGCAAGACATGAGATTGGCCATGCCTCCGTGAATGTGCAGAACGAAATTCTCCATGAAAAGTAACGATTTCAACGCCAGTGAATTATGCCAAGGTAAATTTAGAATCCCCCTACCGATTACCAGTTTCGGTTCTGGCGAACTCGGCGCAGCGCCTCCTTGGGGTTCTTCCGTATAACCATCCACATCATGATGGTCGTGGCCAAAGACAGGCCATACCTACAGAATATGAGCGACAATCTCGGGCGGGAAAAGAAAACAGGCAACGGATCCAACTTACCATGTGAAGATGTATTGAGAATGATTGTTTCTCAAATTCACCTCTGCGGCGCGGCCAATCGGGATACCCTTGGCCTCGCGATCACACGATTCGAGGAAGTCAGGCACTGGAAACACAAATCATTGTTAGCCATGCATTAGCAAGAGGATTCAATCTAATCTCCTTACCCATTGTCTGCTCAATCCAAACAGGCTGGCTCCCGCTCTTCTCTGCCATCTGGTTGATATCGGGAAAGTAGAACTTTCCCTCATCCGGCTTGTTATCCGGTGTAAACATGTTTTTCTTCCATGGCTCTCGTAGCAAACCCTCCACGGTCACCTCTTCGTCCAGTACACCCAACGGCCGGTCTTTTGGATCCTTGAGTTTTTTTGAGATCCAACCCCGGTTCACAAGTACGGTGCTCTGTCCCTCTCGCTCGAGGGGAGTCACCACGATATAACCGTCCTCTCCCTCCTTCATGCGGGGTCCAACCAGCATTTCTTTGTCGTGACGGAGACGGCCGGTAGCATACACGCGGCGGTAATCGAACTCTGAAATGGCATCCGGGTCGATTCGCGGCGGCAGTGGCAGAGGAGGCTTCACGAGACGGTCCTCGAATTTGGCCATCAATTTGGTTTTCCATTCCAGGCGCTGTACTTGCCATGTGCCCAGGATAAATGAGATGATAGGAATCAGAGCTATACATATGTAGAAGAATACGTTAATCATTATTTTCAGCCATTAAGATGTAGTATTCTCAAGAATAGGTAGCATTGGACATTGACATACCCAAAATGATTAGACCAGGTCCATGTTTCTTATTAACACGGACAAGCCTCGCCGGGTGGTCCACAATATTCAAACTCTCGGCCAGCTGGCGCGATTGTGAGATATGGCGGAATTGTTGTAGGCGGTATTTGGCGCAGATGGAATTGATCTTCGAGGATACACAAGGGCTCCGGACAGCCCGAGTCGGAGGTATCCAGACCCTCGCGGATACCTTCTGCAAAGCAGAAAAGACCGGCCGCATGTCGACGGCTTGGAAAATATGAAGAGTGAGTTGAGGTTTGGACGGGGTTAAGAGTTGGAGTTTCTTGCACATGCGACGGCAGTTGGAATTTCGGGATCGGGGGTTACCGTGACCGCCCAGGCTTCTCCAATGTATACTTGGCTCTCCACACTGGCCTTCTCATCCTGCCACTAAGTCTTTACCGGAATGCGATAATGACACTTTTCTACAACGGATCCCTTCAGGAGGGCATTGCTGCTGCAGTGAGAGATGCCAAAGCGGTTACTTGCTTCGTTAGAGGTCGCTGGGTTTCTCCCCGCATCGAATGACATGTCGCTGATCCGAGTACTTGAACATACAGATGACGAGGAGTTGAGCTCTCAATGGGAGAACGCTTACTTTGGCGATGATGAGGTACATCCACTTGCTATAATTGAATGTCTGGCTGTATCTGACGCCCTGCAGGTTGCGCGAGCACTCAATGCCAAAGCAGTTGTATTGCGTTTGACAGCGGGGTCACAGGAAGCTGGATTCCTGGCTCCTTTCTGTCCGATCTCGAAATTTCCGACTGTTATCCTTATCAAGTACGTTCAACTGTGCAACGCCTGTGGGCAATTTGGTCTTGGTTTGCTAACTTCGTTCCAGGAATGGCACGCTGAATGAATACATCGGGCCAGATATCTCGAAAGATGACTTCCGCAGTCGATTAATTGCAGCTTTGGAAAGTGAACAAGTACCCAGTCCTACACAGCAACTACAGAGCAATAACACTCCTACCGCTTCAATTAATACTACACCGGTGTCAGTCGCGCCCAAACCCCAGCCCGAGGCGCCATCCAGTGCCAGCAAACCCGCAAAGCAAACAAACGAAACTGCAATCAAGAAACAATCACCGGTTGAACAAATACCCAAAAAAGCTGCAGAACCCGCCAAATCAGCAGGCTCTACATCTCAAAAGCACTTATCATCCAAAGAAGCGAGCAATAAAGATACTAAAGGCAAAGCACCGATGGGGTCTAAGCAACCCACTGAGAAAGGTGCCGTAAAAAGCGAACACCAAGAGCCAAAACCTGTAGTCCCTCGCGGACCTCCAACCGAGTACCGGCTGCAAGTGCGCCTGTTTGATGGAAGATCAGTGCGATCTAGCTTTACGCCCACTCAGAACATCCGAAATGATGTACGGGCTTGGCTTGATGAGAAAATGGAAGGCGACAACCGACCCTACAACCTCAAACATATCTTAACCCCCCTCCCCAGTGAAACTCTTTCCGTCGCCCAAGAGTCGCAAACTCTCCGAGACGTAGGTCTTGGTTCCACCGCGAACCTGGTTATGGTCCCCGTATCAACATACACGGAGGCCTATTCGGCAGGGGGTAGCTTGCCCGTTCGTGGTATTTCTGCCGTCTACAACCTGGCCTCTTCTGTTGCCAGCACCGCGACAGGTCTTGTAGGTTCATTCCTTGGATATGGCTCAACCGCACCGGCAAGCGATGCAGCCACCTCTTCGACTTCTTCGGCCCCTCCGGCTACTGGCAATTCCCAACGTCCTAGGACAACGGGACCCAATGTCCGGACGCTGAGGGACCAGCAAGATGGACGTCGGGATAATCAGTTCTACAATGGGAACCAGGTGCGTGATCCTAAGTAGAAATAACTGGTTCAAGATTGGCTAACATCTTTCTCAGTTGAACTTTGAGCCACGGAAGAACCAGGATGACAAGGATAAATAAATCCTAGCGGTATTGATTCGGTGTCATTGCATTATTTATCTATGGCGTTGATGGATCTGATTAGCCCACGCTCTGTACTATGACACTATGGCTATTGTTCGCTTTTTGGTTACTGTAAATTTATAATAAGTGACTTTATTTGGCTGTGTTGTTAATGCTCTTTTCCATCGTATTTAAGGTTAATACAGATATTGATCTAAACAATCATCAGACAGCTAAAAATGTACAAATGTAGGAAGTTCGTTAAATTCATGCATTCGATTCTTGATCCGGTAGTCAAGCATTGATTCCTTTATCGAGGAGAGATGGTATAAAGTACAAAGAAGGGATATGGAAATAGCTATGCAAAGAAAGATTGGCTATGAGCGATGAAACCCATAAACCCCATCACTTATTACTAAAAATGGTATCTGTCTTTCTGATCACCAAGGGTCAAAATTGGTATTAAACCCTTAGTAAGGCTTGGCGGCGGCCTGGCAAGCTTTCTGCAGGACATTAGTATGTATTAAAAAGAAGAAAAACAGAACAAGTGTAAACATACCAGCTGATCAAGGTACCAACCGCAGATGCTCAGGTTACCTTGGTTCTCATCCATGCAAGTGCGGAAGTTACGGACGTCAACCTCACAGGCAGGGTTCTCGTACGAGTTCTGGGCGGCGTTGCTCTGGTAGAGGCCGTTGTCCATAGCCTGGGACTGAGCAATGGGAGCCTGCTGGGCCTCAGCGGGGGCGCTAGAGCCACCGCCGAAGAAGCCACCGATGGCGTGGCCGATGGAGGAGCCGACAGCAACACCACTATGTCAAAATAATCGTTAGCACATATGCCGGAAAAGTCGATCCTAACCCCGGATTATATCGGGGAGCCAGGTACCAAGCCGGAACTGAAACTTACGCTGCGGTCGAGGCCATCTGGCCGAACAGACCAGGGCCGGCGCTCTGCTGCACGGGAGGTGCCTGCTGGGCCTGTGGGGGGTGAGCGGCGGTCGAGTGAGGCTGCGACTGCTGCTGCGAGGGAGGAGCCGCGGGCCGAGCAGGAGCGGCGGTAGGACGGGTGGGAGCGCTGCGCGCAGGGGCAGCACGACGTTGTTGACGAGCCATTTTTATGGTTAGGTGTGGGTTTGTTTGGACGAAGGTAAAAGGGAGGCGAGGATATGCAAGTTATAAGTATAAGGGCTAGTGGAGAAAGAAGAAGCTAGAAGATGAGTAAGTTCGGCCAGTGAGGCAAACTCCGATGCAAACCTTGGAGCTTTGTGGATGCTGATTGGTCAAGGGATGTCACGTGGACCGGACATTACGGTGCCGGTTGGCCGGCGCGGAGACAGGAACGGGAATGACTACGGGAATAACTAGCATGTGCTATTAAGAGCGATAGAATGGATGTGGGCAAATTACATCATGGAAAGGAGCCGTTTACAACCACTAGCTTGTGCATAGAGTGCATAGAGTGTATCCCGGAGCTTGCTGTGGCTCCCATTGTGGAAGGGTATCTTGATTCATGGAGACATCCAAGTCTCGTACATAGTACATAGAGCCACTCATTGTGGTCTTAAGATGGCCGAGGCATCCATCTAAATGGAAGCTCATGACCGGACAGGCTCGGCAAAGCGATGATTAGATTCGACAATGCATGTCTTGTCGACAGAGGTTCTGATAATGATGACGCATAGCCAATGCTATGCTTTGAGACCGCCCGGCAGTCCGTCCTTAGCATTCGAGGCGCAAAGGCAAGTCCGTACTTAGTTCCCACTAATCGGGGCGCAATGCATTCATTGGGCCTTTCGAGCCTTTCGAGTCTCCTCCTTCTTCGCCCGTCGCTCCTTCTTCTCTTCTTTCAGTGTGGCCTTGTTGATTTTCCTCTCCTTCTTTGACTTGCTGTTTTCTGGTTTGTGCTCTCCTCTGGATTTCTTTTTGCTATCCTTCTCGGCCTTTGCGGCAAGTTTTGTGTCAATCTGGGGCTCTGCTGCTGCTGCTGCAATTTCCACACCACCTTCGGAATCATCATCATCAGAGTCATTATCAGATTGTGCTTTCGAGGCCTCGATACTCTTGCGAGCGAGCATGGTTGCTTTAAACTGAGCACGGGCTCGCTCTTTGGCCTGTTTTTCTGCCCGTTCCAAGTCATACTTATCATTGCCAGCCTGTGTTGATTTGGTCAGTAGCTATTGTAGTACAATAGAAAAGCTCAGCACTTACAAGACCATGTTTGATGAATCTGCCTGCAGCTGCCTTATCAAGGGCCATGGGGCGTTCCTCAGGCTCGGTCTCCAGTGCCTTGATCTTTTCAAAGTACTGCTTCACACGGGTCAATTCCCGGAACACCGGGTGCTGCTTCGCATCCACGCCATGAAGCCGCAGATAGGCTGACCAATTTCATTAGCATAAGTAAATATAGTAGACTGTAGTGCGACGTACAGAAGATTAGTGATTCTAGTGTGTAGGTGATCAAAACGTGAAGTTTTGCTTTGTCCATAACAGGCAATTTGTTTGAGCTTTTGAGGAGAGTACTAGCCAAAATAGGCTGGAGCACTTCCTCCAAATCATCGACATTGTCGTCCAGCTGCTCAAGCAGCGGCAGTAGGTCTGTTGGGTCCATGGCGGTGAGGTGTGGTGTAGATGAGAAATTGCTTGATGTAAGAAAAAAATAGGACGGGTCCAAATGGGGCGGTGGAAACGGGCGGTGTGGATTCTGGACCGATTATCATCTGCGCAACTGAGATCGCCGAGAACTCGTGCATATCCAACAATTGCTTTGATTGTCTAAAAATAAGCCTTGGTGGACACACCAGTGGCCCGCTTGTTTGACAATATCCACGATATAAAAACTGATCCCTTTCCAACCCTATCGTTCTGACCTCCCCCGTCGCCAAACACATACTTGCAACTCAATCGGATATTCCGGGGAGCTTTTCCTCGGTGCTCTCAGAATGCAGTCGACACTTCGGCCCCGTTCTTTGTGGCAGACTGGTATTCTTGGTACATGTTTTCGCACGCGGTTTCAGGTCTATAGTGGGCCAACCACACGATTTATCTCAACATGGAAGGAAGAGTTGGATGAGGTCAACCATGCTACCAAAGCACCCCTGTCAGGACGAGTGCACATCCTCGGAATGGGCAATCTAGGTTGCTTTTTTGCTCATTCTTTAGCCACGAGACGGTCACCGCCGCCAATCACAATATGCCTGCACAATGACTATCTCTACCAGGCCTTTGTTCGGAAAAGGGGACAAATCTCTGTTAGCACCCATGGCCTTGACGATGTCAGAACGGGATTTGATGTTGAAACAGTGGACGAAGAAGGAAGATGGTATGCAATGCCTCCTGCTGACAAGCGGCCCTCGTCGTTCAATTCCGAGTTCCAGTCTCTGCCAGATAATGGTCCCATCGAGTGCCTTATTATCTGCACTAAGGCGCATCACACGGAGCTTGCTATCAAAGACATTAGTCACCGCCTTACCAAAAACTCAACTATTTGTCTTGTCCATAATGGCATGGGCGTGCTCGACTCCATCAATCAAAATGTTTTCCCCGATCCAAATAATCGACCACATTACATCCAGGCCGTCTTCAGCCATGGTCTGGGTAGGAACGACTCGTTCAAGATCTCCCATTTGGGAGTTGGGACCACAATACTTAGCCCAGTTGGAGATCCCAGTATCCCTCCCACATCGCCAGAAGCTGACCATACGTGGGCGCCATCCACAAAATATCTTATGCGCCTCTTGACTCTCACTCCGCCCTTGGTCGCTGTGGCTGATACACCGGCGGGTCTATTACAATATCAACTTGAGAAATTGGCAGTGAACTGCGTCATCAATCCCCTGACTGCACTGAGCGACTGTACAAATGGCGAAATCCTGTACTCGTTCAGCTTTACCCGTGTCATGCGGCTGCTACTCTTTGAGATCTCTGCCGTCATCTGTGCTCTTCCTGAATTGCAAGGTATCCCGGGAATTGAAGATCGCTTCTCCCCAGAACGCCTGCGTCGTTTGGTTGTGAACATCGCGAGCAACACGGCCAAGAACCACAGTTCGATGCAGCAAGATATCAACCAGAGAAGGTTGACAGAGATTGAATACTTCAACGGATGGATTGTGCGTCGCGGCGAAGAACTGGGTATCAAATGCGCACTTAACTACATGATCAAGCATTTGGTCGCTGCCAAAGCGGCTACCCATCGGAGCCGAGAAGCTGGCGCGATTCCCCTTGATCTCGACAATGTCATCTCTACCAATGAGCCTCCCATTTAACAGATCTGGACTATCTTCTACTCTGTCGAGTTTTCACTCTACCTTGGGTCCTTGTCATACCGCTCTGTGTGTGAGCAGGTCAAAAGATTCAACAATAATCTAAATTCTTTGCGGAGAATCTCTATACAGAGACAGTTTTGGCCGCATGTTCGCAGAGATCCTTGATCTGCCTCCACCGTCTCAGCAGCATATCTGCTTTTGAATGATGTGCTTGAACTGTGGTGTTGAGTTCCATGGCCTTCTGCAGCGCCGTTATAGTTGCATCTGCCTCTGCGGCATATGTCAGAATCCACCTTTTGATGGTGGCCTCAGATCGAATCTCATCCAAGCCCTGTGAGTGGCCTTCAAGAACATGGTTCCGCCAATCCTCCTCCTTCATATAACTCAGGCATGCAGCGACCTCTGTGCGGTAACAGGGTCCATGGGGAGTAACTTGGTAGTTACTAGCGCTGTGTCAGTGGAGAACTATATATATTGCGTGGGAAATGCGCATTATCATGTAAAATATCAAATCAAACCACATACCCATAATACTGATTCAGCCACAACTCCTCTTGCTGCCCGGTGGAATTGATGTCCCGAAAAATGATATCGTCAAGATAGATTGAATCTGCTTCATTCACATCAAGGAAGAAGCCATCTATAGAAAGGGAAGGAAGTCAGCACGTTGAAGAGAAGCAGAAAATAACACTTTCTCACATTCCGCTAGTAATGTATCATTCGGATGACTGCCATAGTTCATGAACACTTCCTCGCCCTCCTTATAATCTTTTGTAGCGCGAAATTCATATGTATGCTCATCAAATTTGACATCCCGCTGTTTCCGTCCATGGTTAGCTCGATCAATATAACATGAAACTCAGACAGAGCACGTACGGCAACATCTGCATGATTGAAATAATCAGCGAAAGGCACCAGCCCCATCGCATCATTGGGGTCTTCCGGCGTTTCCTGTCCCTCGCCAACCCAGTAGAAGCTTCTCGTATTTACAATCAGCCAATTGTATGAGAATGTCTCCCAGTGCGTATCCGGGAAGGCAGAAATGACGTCTGTCCATGCTTTGCGCAAGCGCTGAGCCTGCTGCGAGATAATGTTCTGGTAGTCTGTGCTGTATTTCCTTGTCTTTGGGCCAGGCTCTAGGCTGTTCCAGAGCCCCGAAAGTGATGGGGGAAGAAGACTGGGCTGCTCCGAGTCAGTCGGCGCGTCATTTTTACTGCTGGGCAACTGTGGTCCTCCTAGGGCGGTTGGCCAGAGGATCGGCATGCTGTCTTCGAAGTCTTTTCGGCTGGGCCATGACTTGCGCCATAACTCGTATTTTGACAGTTCATCCGGTGCACCATGCGTCAGATATGCCGCTAGGAGTGCCTGTACAGCAATATCTTCTGGGAGTCTGTCGACGAAGGTGGAAGGGATATCTTCGGCCCTTAGCATCAACTGTGTCGGCACTTGGAGGACGATTTCTCCTTTCTGGACGGATACTCGGTGAGTAAATATAGAATGAGGAGTAGATATAGTCTTGAGAGTTCATACTTTTATGTTCCGAGTGGCCATCATTCCCAGCCCACGTCCTTGGAACCGAGCTGGAGTCACCGACTTGGTGTCTATGTCAATGGAGAGTGCCCATTCAGTGAAGGCCTCGTGCTCCTCCCCGGGCCACCATTCTGGCTTCATGTTGTATGGGTTTTGTGCTTCTTGGCAGAATTTGAGATTCTTGCTCCAGTTAGCATATACTACGAGATAGGGATTGAGTTAGAGCGATATACATATGTTAGAACACACCTTCAAATGGGCATGTTCTGTTATATCCTGTTCTTTCAAGCCAAAAAGCCTAGAAAGAATGTTTAGTAGCCTCAATGGGCGGCGAGGTGTGTCTGAAATTCACTCTACAATGTGGAGCAGATGGTTATCGGTGATAAACGGCGTTATCGTAAATTACGGCAGGTTACAACGTCCATTTGTGCGGTTCCTTCCGATCTGATAATCATACCACTTCTACTTCCACTTCAGCTTTCGTCCCAGACCATGCACAATTTCCTCTGGCTTTGGGATTCATAATGTCGGTACTTGGGAGGCGTGGAACAACTCAGTTTCGGGCATTGGCTGCCAGCCCAAGTCTATCAGCTGCAATCACTCCACGGCCCTTCTCCGTTTTAAACCGCCCACCACCAAACTACCCTGGCCATGTCCCATTGACTACTATTGAACGCGGAGCTCTTGCTGTAGGCTCGGCAATTGGATCCCTTATTAACCCTAGAAGAGCGGGTGCGTGGATATAGTTTCCTACAAGGCCATATAGAATCCCGGATCATGATCTAACATGGTACTCTATAGATCTCATTGCGGCCTTGGGCGAAGCCACCGCAACCCCATTTTTCATATACCGACTACGTGATGCCATGCTCTCGGATCCAACAGGGCGCCGCATTCTCCGCGATCGCCCCCGCATCACCTCTGAAACCCTCAAAATGACCCATCTCCGCACCCTCCCCGAGAATTCCGTCGGCCGGACATACGCCAAATGGCTAGATCGCGAGGGCGTATCCCCCGACACCCGGGATAACGTCCAGTACATCGACAATGAAGAATGTGCATATGTCATGCAGCGATACCGCGAATGCCATGACTTCTACCACGCAGTGACGGGTCTACCGATTTTTGTGGAGGGCGAGCTAGCTCTCAAGGCGCTGGAGTTCCTTAACACACTTCTGCCCATGACGGGTCTGAGTCTATTCGCCTTTGTGCGGATGAAGCCCGCCGAGAAAGAGCGGTTCCTCTCGTTACATCTCCCGTGGGCTATTCGCAGTGGGCTGGGGAGTAAGGAGCTTATCAATGTTTATTGGGAGGAAGTGCTGGAGAAGGATGTGGACGAGCTAAGAGCCGAGCTGAATATTGAGCGTCCGCCGGATCTCAGAGAGATTCGGAAGATGATTCGGCAGCAGCAGAAGCGGGAAAAAGAGAGACAGCAAGCTTCGAACTGAGCTCGAGTGCGTCCTATCAAAGCGATGGATCTCGAATATAGGGAGAGATGTATGATTATTGGGTCGTTGTAAACCATATCATCGGTGCGCAGATGCGCAGATGCGAGGCTGTTTGCCCTAATTCAACCCAGCTGCAAATAGTGTAAAAAAAAAGAAAGACGGGCCATAACGCCTTAAGTAGATTTTCCCAGTGGCCCACGAGCGGATAGCAACATAGGTATCCAAATGCAATAAACAAAAGGGCCATAGGCACAAGTGATTATAGACATTGTATGCGACCCTTACAAGTCCAAGAGATCATCATCGTCATCCCATCCACCTTTGCGGCGAGTAAAAACGATTTTGTGCTCCTCCTCCTCTTTGCGCTGGTTCTCTGCAACAGCCCCCAACAACTCCTTGAGCTGTTCCTCGGTTACCTTTGACCGTAGCTGTCCAGATTGTGCGAGCATGATGAGGCGGTTCTCGATATCGGTTGCACGCGATTCCTTAACGAGGCGGATGCGGCCCAGGCGATCGGCAGCCTCGGGATCGAGAATTTGGGTCAGTATCGAAGCGCGTTGCTCTGTTAAAATAGATCAAAGATGGATTAGAACGGTAATACAAGGACGCTTCTTGTAGTCATCGAATGCGAATGGACTCAAGCGGTTGGATCTTGGGACCTACCCTCTGCTTGTCTGGTGGTGGGGTTCATTAGCATACAGCATCTTCTTGTGGTTTATTCCAACACTTACTTCCTCTGCTGTGCCTGCTCGCCACCATCCTGACCGGCCGGACCACCTCCACGTGGTCCTTGTTGCTGGAGTTGCGCGAGACGAGCTCGTCGGATCTAGTTCCTCGCTTAGTACCGAAGTCGAAGACCTCTCATGATAGTGACTGACCTCTTCTAGTTCTGCGTCGGCCATGGTGGATATGTCACAGGGGCTTGAATTGATCAAATGTTGAAGAGTCGAGGATTAATTCGGCGAACCCCACTTGGCTCACCTGAGTACGGAGGGGTGCAACGACCTTCCATTCCGGGGTAGTTTTGACCAATATACAATTGAATTGAGGTATAGTAGTTATTGCTCGTAGTCTAATAATTTAATTCTTATATCTATTCAACTATAGATTTTATATAAAGTTGCATCTCCAAAGACCATCGAAATTTAAACCCCCCAAAATATTAATCTCAGATAGAAAGAGGTAGCAATCGATCGTGAACAAGGCTGTTGAGCACCATATCTAGGTAATATTCTACTATGTTGAGTGCCATTGTCATTCCCTCGGACTTCAGTCTCACGGCCGTACTCGTACCGGGGGACTTACGCGTGGAACTTATGTTTCAACTTCGTACACTTTACCATGCATATCCATTTGGTGGATGCTGAATAGGTGTTTAATTGGCTTTTAATATACTATATTCACTTGTGTGATAAGACCGTGACATGTACTTTGTCGGCGCCTATCACGGGGGTACTCCGTACATAAACCACTAAAAAGCCACCATCTTACTGCTTGAGGGGCAAATCTCAATTTCAAAATTACCGATCGATAGCTTCAGGTTTAGCTCCAAAATATCCCCGGGGCTATCAGAAGCGCCGGGGTCTCCGGTCCGTGTCCGGGTGGCAATGCTAATTCTCCCCTCACATGAACCTTTTCCCGTATTCCCCCATCTTCATATTTAAAGTCTTCAGGCGTACCAGTTCATAGCGCAGTCGATCTTTCAATAGTCTACCGGGTTCACTCCATCTCCGGGTGACTAAGCTTTGGTTCGCCCTCGCGCCCTGACTTCGACAACCTCAACAGGCTGATATTTCCGATCAGATCTGTTTGTGGCAATTCAATCCTTCTCTTGACCTTCGGCGCATTCATTTCTGTCGTGTCGTTGGCCGTTCGTCTCTCCGCTCACTCCCAAATCCGGATTCGGCCATCTTTCAGCCTATTGCGTACTGGACCTACTCGACCGCACGCGCGACCTTTCTATTCTTAACACTTTGTCTTTTGGGTGTGGATGGCGTGGATAGCAACCTGTCTACCGGGGTTTATTTGGACGTAATTTTGATCTGGCGAGCGAATCATCTTTTTGCCTTACATTCCAAACGCCTTCTACGTCACCCACCATGGCCGAGTAAGTTATCCATCGAGAGTCCTTACTGAGGAATTTAATCAGTTATTGACACTTTAGGTGGGGCAGTTTAATTGCCTTTCAAACCTCTCATCATAGTTTCTTCTCCCCATCCAACATGATCCCGCGCCATAAGAGGTCGCTCTCCTCGGAGCACCCGTCGTTATCTTCTGACCGTACCGTCATTAAAGCGAAATCCACTACCAATCTCTCCGAGATCGCTTCGTCCAATGTTTCCAATAGAACACACAATTCTGGATTTGATGAAAGCAGTTTCAGCACCTTGCAGGACCCGCGATTGATGGTCGGATCGGAGGTCTCACATTCGACGTCATCGTCTCAGCACCCCGACCTGAGCAACGAAGTAGCAGCATTGTCTGTGAAACTGATCCAGGCCATAAACAACCAAACGAATCTCGATGACAACCTGGTTGCTACCCAACAAGAGCTAGAGTTAGCCCAGGGGAAGATTCAGGCTCTGGAGTTTCAGAATGAGAAGTATCGGCGAGACATTGACAACAAAGTCTATATCAAAAAGGTCGACTCCGATCGTGAAATTTCGCAATTACGGGATACGTTAGCGGAAGAAACAACCCAGCGTCTCGCCGCTGAAAAAGGCAGGAAGACCATTGAGCAGGAAGTGGAAACTCTTACCGCGGCTCTTTTTGAAGAAGCCAACAAGGTCGGTAATATGCTTCCGCTTCTGTATCTCAAACTAAATTCTAACCGTATTTTAGATGGTGGCCGCTGCTAAGATTGAACGTGAGGCGGTGGAGAAGAAGAATGAGCAGTTGCGTTCACAAGTCAAAGACACCGAGTCGCTCCTGGCATCGCACCAGGACCAGCTTGCCGAGCTCAAGTCTGTCATGCAAGCGATGAACATTTCCAAAGATGACGTGGAAGGTCGTCCCACTCCCGCTCCTTCATCCCCAGATGGGCAGTCACAAGCGCAAGGTTCTAGTACCCAAGAGCTCGAGCTTGACCCCGTTCCTATATTGATTGACAACCCCGAGGAGCTCACCCCGGGCCCTTCCACCAGCTTCCCGCAGTTCAATCGCTTGGTATGCCGGACGGATTTGCAGGCTTATGAGGATTTCCGCGATTTACTAGTCCTCTCACGGAGCTCCAAACCTCCTAGCCGTGCTGCGAGTGGATCATATGGCGGCCTGAACGTGATGGGTCTGGCAACCTTTGCTAGTGGAGGGTCTCCGTCGGCGACCTCATCGCCCACCAGAGGGTTTGCACATTCCCCCAATGGGAGCACGTCTTCCATGACAGGGTCGCATTTTGCCTTGAAGGAAACTCGTTTCTATAAGCGGGTGCTTATGGAGGATATTGAACCTACATTGAGACTAGATATAGCGCCGGGGATCTCATGGCTGACCCGGCGTACCGTTCTAAGTGGTATCTGCGAAGGCAGTCTTGTCGTGGAGCCCATGCCCCCATCATCCAAGAAATTCGAATTCCCCTGTTCTGTCTGTGGTGAACGCAGACCCGGCACAATTAACGAGAGAACCCATCGTTTCCGAACGTCAGATAGTGAGACCGCTCAAAGGTACTCACTTTGTCTTCTCTGCTTAGAAAGAGTGCGCTCGTGTTGCGACTTCGCTGGCTATTTGCGTCTCATTCTCGACGGGCATCTAAGGGCTGGGGATACCGAAGAAGAAAAAGAAATTTGGGACGAGACCATTCGCCTCAGAGAAAGGATATTCTGGTCCCGTATCGGAGGAGGCATCATTCCCTTGTGTAATCGCCCAAGCGAACCAGAGGCGGAACTGGCCAGCACAGAGTTCAATACTGGCGCCACCGACGACGATGATGTCCGGTATCTTCATCCTGTGGACGTTACTTACCTCGAGCCCGGGACGGAGAGAATATCTCCAGCGACAGAACAACCCACACCAGAAACATTAGTCACAGAATCCGCTACCGAGCACATAACCCACCCTGATCTTCCTCGACCTCAAAGTTCTATCTATGACAAGAACGATGCTGTTTCCTTGAGTGGCTCGGAGCGCAAGCGCTTTTCTATCGATTCGGCAGCAAGCGTTTATGAAGAAGCTAGCGCTGACGTGGATGCCAATTCCACGCCACCTGTCCCCATCGAGCCCTCAGTCGTTCCTAGTTCAGACACAGACACAGACATCGCCAGACCCAATGGTTTGAGCAACCCTTGAACTCGGTTGATCAGCGATCAACACGAGTGAAATGACTACACGGTTTACCCAGCATTTTATGATCCGCCTAATGTCTTCCCCCACCCTTTGTTTTGGCATTATATTCTTCAGTCACTTAATTCTCTTCTACTTCCTCCAGCGTTGATACAGACCTGCCCTTCGGAAATCCTGCATCTGCATCTGCATCTGCTTCTACATCTACATTTAATCACCCATTGGATTACACCTTGATGATGTCCTTCATTGGTTCTGGCTTCTTCGGTATCCCTCTCTTCACATTCAGCCACATGGCCTCTTGTATTATTACCAACATTTTCGCTTCTGACCATGCATACATATTAATGCGTTTTGTTTCCCCTTGTCTTTTTTTTTTCTCCCGCGGACATTTGGACCAGGTGGTGGCATTATGGATCTTCACCGTTTCTGTTCCTTTTTCTTACCTTTTTTTTGTTTGTTCCCACTTTTGGCTCGCGGCGAGGCTGGTCTCGGGCCCTATTGGTGGTGGAAGTATCGTGATAAATGATAGATGAATTTGAATCAATTTGCATACATAGATGATATATGCGCTTGGAATAACATACCGTAGAAGATGCGAGCAACACATCTCAGTCAATAATGTTCAAAGAATACTACTGTGTACGGAATCTAGACAGATTCAAGTTAATAATTGCACGAAAAGAAGCGTAGATCAGACAAGATGTTTCGTGAGGTTAAAGTAAGACAGGGCTATTGTACACAAACAGAAAAAGAAGCTCATCCAGATTTCATTCCTCCCGAACTCCACAAATGGCAGAAAAGATAGTATTTTCGAAATAGAAAACCCCCACAAAACCTCCTTGAAACGAGAACATCCCATCTGAACTTTATGTAGCCGGGGGGGGGGGGGGATATTATTTCTTGGCAAGCTGGTGAATATGTCTGAGCTGGTCTTCGATGTTCATACTCTGGGGGTTCTGCGCGCCAGCTGGGCCCGCGTTGGGGTTTTGTGGGCCAGCCGAGCCATCGAGACCCATAGCCATTCGCTTGCGGCGAGCTTCCTCCTCCGGGTCGACGGGGGCAGGGTCGAAGACATCGCTGCGCTGACTTGCAAGACGCTTGAGATTGTTGACCACGTCGACGGTGGACAGGTTGGTAGTGGCACTGCGGGCTTCGGCCTTCGCACGCTGCTCTTTCCAGCGCGGGTCAAGTAGCTCGATACGGATGTGCTCATCCAGCTCCGGGAAAGGCACTTTCTGGTTGCAGTAAGGGCAGATCGCCATCTGGGCTTGTTGACGGCGAGCCTGGGCACGGGGCACGTAGTCTGAGCGAATACGCATTGGCTGTTGGCCTGGGATGGCTGCTGCCTGGGCGGCGGCGGCTTGGTCGCGCGCTTGGGTCCGCTCACGGATGCGCTGATCCTCTTCTGCGTTGGAATACTGACCTGTTGGGGGGTAGGGGGCTGCTGGGTAGGGCGAGACCGAGGGTTGGGGTGCGTGCATGGGTGCGGGTTGAACTGGGTAGGCGTTGTAGTAAACAGGTTCATCGAGGCCGGTGGGCATCGCTTCCTCTATACGTCGTGTGCTGAGGGAGAGTGCTGCTCTTTGCTCGAGGGAGGCGGACTGCAGGTCATTGGCGGAGGTTG